GCCGCACCCCTTCGAGTAGTCGAGGAATCTGCAATCAGCCAGCCCTCGCCAAATTCGGCCCATTGTCGTGTCCCCCTTCAACAAGTAGTCCGGGACGGTGCCGGGCTGCCGGGGCACCGTGGCACAGCCCTCGGCGCAGCCCTCGGCGCAGCCCTCGGCGCAGCCCTCGGCGCAGCCCTCGGCGCAGCCCTCGGCACAGCCCTCGGCGCAGCCCTCGGCGCAGCCCTCGGCGCAGCCCTCGGCGCAGCCCTCGGCGCAGCCCTCGGCGCAGCCCTCGGCGCAGCCCTCGGCGCAGCCGGCCCCGTCCACGAGGAACCGTGCCGCCGCGCTGCCGCACTACAAGCTCCACAATGGGGAGATGATGGGGCCGCGCTGCCCCGCCCCGCCACGCCACGCCCCGCGGCCCCGAAGCCCTCCAGCTCCGATCGCGATAGCGGCTTTCCTTCTTCTTAAGGTCATGTTCATTGTGACGATGCACCCCGCGGGGCCTCGGGGACGGCGGGGCCGAAGCGGGGCAGATAGGGAAGCATTCAGATAGGGGCCCGGTCGGCCCGTCGGCGGGGTGGCTGCCGCTGCCGCGATGCCACGCCGCCACGCCATTCGACGCGCGCTCCAGCGGGGCCGGCGGGGCTAGCACCCACACTGCCGAATTCGGCTTTTTTCCCTTTGTCAACCTCGACTTTTCAGCTCAACGGAGCCCCCCGCGCAGAGAAACTCGGGCCTTTCCTCGCACCTGGCTTTTGTGATAGTGGCCCCGTTGGCAGCGCAGCGCCGCCCTCCCTCAACGCGCCAACCAGGGTTGTTAACGTTACTTTTTAAAGGTAACGCGTTACCGTTACCGTTACTTCGGGTTTGAGTAACGGTAACGTCGTTACTTTACCGACTTCTGAAAAAGTAACGCGTTACCGTTACAGGTAACGCGGTAACGCCGTTATCGTTACTTCAAATCCTAAAGTTCCTTAAAAGCCACAATTTTACCGGTTAAAATTGCTGGGGTGAATTAGAATTATTTTAAAATTAAAGTAAAGACAGTAAAATTTTAATGTTTAACACGTTCTAATGTAAACTTCTGCACCTACTTCTCCCAATATTGCCACTTATTTTAAAATCAAAGTTAAGACAGTAAAATTTAAATGATTAACATGTTTTAATGTAAACTTCTGCACCTACTTCTCCCAATATTGCCAATTCATGGCCGATGGGACCTCTATTTCAAGTGATGCATCACTCAATCTGTTTCTAAAAGCAACAATTAAGCGTCCACAGTCAAAAATGGGCAAGTGTTGAAAGATTTTTTTTCTGAGTGTGGACGCTTATTTGTTGCTCTCACTAACAGATTGAGTGCCTTGGCAAATGAGCTGACCACAGCAGGGAGAGAGAGGGAGAAAAATATAGGTTTGTAGCTCTTTTTGATGCCTCGCGGTAACGGTAACGCCGTTACCGCGTTACTCCTCTTTGGTAACGGTAACGTCGTTACTTTACTCATTTCTCAAAAAGTAACGCGTTACCGTTATCGTTACAGTAAAGGTAACGGTAACGCTGGTAAAGTCTTTACTCTTTAAAGTAACGTTAACAACCCTGGCGCCAACGCGCCAACGCGCCAACGCGCCCCGCTCGCGGCGGAGAGGAGGCGCGGCGCTGCGCTGCCGGCTCATTCCGGACGTCGCCCTGTCCCTCTCGCACCCAGGGGGCGACCCTGAGGGGTGCGAGAGAGAAGGGGCGCCGTTCGGAACGAACGTGCAGCAGGTGAGGGGTGGCGGGCGGCGGCCAGGGGGAGCAGGGCGTTAGAACCGCCGCGCCGTCCCCTCCCCTCCCCTCCTGGACCCCCAGGGCGCGCCTCACAGCCTCGCTCCCTGCCTCGCCCCGGGCCCATCAGGGAATCACACGCTTGTGCTCACATGGTGGCCTTGCTCCCGCCCCGAACCGCCCGAACCGCCCGGCCCGCCCGGCTGCACAAAGGGGGCCATGGGGCCATGGGGGCACCGGGGCTTTGTACAGTGTAGCTGCGCCGACCCCGTGCCCCGCGCCTTATGGGGCTAATACGCATCTGCATTCCCTTGCCAAAGCCAAACTCGCTTAAGGCGGGGTGGGGTGGGGTGGGTGGGGAAAAGGGCGAATCTCTGTGGGGCGTTTACAGTTCGGACCGCCAAACTGGCGGCGAGAGCGTGGGCGAGCCTCAGCGCTGGTTGAGCTACGCGCCGACAGTGTACCCGAGGGAATGGGAGAGAGGGAGCATGTGCGCGAGGGGGGGGGCGTGGGGAGGGAGAAGGAAGGACGCATTACATGACGCGGAGTGACACTTTGACCGAATCAGCGTGTCGCCGCCGCCCCGTCGGCTGCCCGGTGTGCGGTGCACGCCGGACCTCGCCCGCCCTCGTCGGACCACATTGCGGCGGACGTTGTTTGCCTGTTGTTCTGGCACTGGTCCGGTGAAATAGTGCTTGTTTGTGCGGGTCGCGTCGCGTCCCGTCGCGGCTCCGGCCGGACGGCTGGACTGATATATACGGCCACGGACGCACAGAGAGAAAGAGTTTCAACGAACGTCGCTGAATTTCAGCGACCTATTTTCAACGATGCTACGGCGGCATTGCCTCCGAAGAAAGCAGCGGCCAGGCCAGCGCCTTTGAGGTAGGCCTCGTGACAGCACCTCTGCCCTCGCGGCGAATGAGTTGCCTATCCTCTCCATCGCAGGCGCTTCTCCGAACCAGGACCATCCTGTCGCTGCCGAGCGATTCAGTAAAGTCGCTCCATCGCGCTCTGTCTCTCTCTCACTACCACTCGCCTCATGAGTGCGAGAGAGACAGACAGAGCGACGAAACGATTCTACGGAACCGGACTGCCTGCAGCCGTTTACAGACGTCTGTTATCCCCAGCCCCAAAAAACTCCCGGCGTCCCCGTTTCGTTTCACCCACACAATGCCGGCGCCCTTGCAGTGCCTCTCGGCGGCGTCCTCGCCACGTCCTCGCCGGCGGCGGCCCGCACTCCACCTTCCGTGAGCACATTTCGTGTTGTGCTAGGCTAGGACCCCTCTCGCCTCCGCGCCACGCCGTGCCTCCCCTCCCGGTTTATAGACAGGCAGACGGCGTTTATTTGGTCGTTGAGCACGGCGCAGCAGGGCGTGTGAGGCGTGTGAGTAAGACGCGGGCCGCCACACGCGGGGGGCGCCTCGGGCGGGCTGCTGGCTGGCTGCCTGCCTTTCCCTTCCGCGTTACTGCCGGCCAGGTGGCGCCGTTCGTGCCTCGCCCGCCGTGTGTTTAGATTTGCAACTCTGCATGCTGCCGCGCCGCCGCGCTCAAGGTCCCCAAGGACGTTGCTGCACTGCAAACGCCGCACGCCGCACGCCGCGCGAGAAAACAACGCCGAATAACGCTCTGATTGGAACGCTGCGCTGCGAGGCAGGGTGAGGCCGGGTGGAGCGGCACGCCCATTTTTCATGCGGGGAAGTTGTCAGCCTGCGCGGCCAGGTGGGGCAGGGCGGGCAGGGCTCGGGCAGGGCCCGGGCAGGGCGGGGGAGAAGCTCCAACCCTTCTTGTAGCGGCGGTTGGCGCGGCGCGGCGGAGCGACCCGGCCAGGCGAACGAGAAAAATGCGAAGAAATGGCAGGCACTTTCTTTTGTGAGCGGGGAGTGGGTTATTGCGGACAGGGCTGACAGCGAGGGGGCGGGGGGAGGGTGGAGGGCTCGGCCGGGCTGGCCCGGCTGGCCCGGCTGGCCCGGCTCGGCCGCGACGGGGACAAGGCGGCGCTGTCGTCGCCAAATTGATGAGCGTGTGTCCGAAACGATCTCCAGGCCGTTCAAGAGATGGGGGCGTACGGCACCGAACGGCGCGGACTCTGAAATTGGTAGAGCGGGGACGCGGCGGCGTGCGCGACGACGCGAGACCGCGACATGACGGGCTGCTTTTTCACCGGGACTCGCCGCCGAGCCGTGCTGGTGCTGCCCACTGGGGAGGAAGGGGGCAAAGCGGAAAAGGCAGCCCGCTGGAACGAAGAGCGTAAACGCCACTGGATTAGGGCCGCTTCCGTATTCCTTGCGCGGGACCGCGCGGACGCCACTGTTGTCCTATTATTCATACCTCGCGGTCGACGGTCGACCTCTCTCGATCTCTTATTCCCTTTCCATGCAAGAGCGAGGCGGCCGTGGGCTGGCCGTGGGCTGGCCGTGGGCTGCCGGGTCGTGGGCGGCGCGTGGCGGGTCGTCTGACGGGTTGCCGAGTGATTCGGAATAGGGATCGTGCCGCCGCTCTGTCTCTCTCGCACCCCGACGGCAAGCGCCATGAGTGCGACAGAGACGGCGACGAAACGATCCTCCGGAATCGCTCCCCGCCGAAGCGCCCTGCCACCTGCCCGCCCTGCCCGCCCCTGGGAAGGTGAGAAACCCCGACCCCTCCTTTTCTTTGGGCGAAGGGCACATATGACGTCTCCGCTCCCACTCCACCCCTGGCAAAGGAGTTCCACGTGTTCTATAGTATTCATATTTCTAGTTCATATTGGAATTCCATAATCCCACACCCAATATTTCTATTCGATGCATCTTACACCCGTTCAACATTTGAACTGGCCCATTCCCATTTGGCCCTTGACGTGTTAGACGGAACTCTAGCCCAGGTGCCCGCTGGAGACACGGCGGTCATGGAGGACAAGGGGGCAGCGCGAGGCCGTTGCTCCAAAATAAAGTTGGCGGGAAGCGAGGTGCTTATCAAGCCTAAGTGCTGCGAACAGGCAAGGTCGTTCAGCTGGTACCCGCTACTCGCTACCCGCGTCACGAGTGAAAAGTGTGTCTGACATACGACGCCCGTCGCCCGTCGGATTTCATAGATTTTCTCGTTGACTCCGGCCGCATCTACGACGCCCTCGGCGGCCCTCGGCTCGCGGCGCTGGCTGTTGCCGCGCACGCCGAGAGATCGCGCCACTGTCGGCTCGGAGCCGAAGGCGCCCGAGTGCCGCCGAGCGGCCAGCGGAAACACCCGAGCGGGCGCGCGATGCGTAGTTTTGGGGAAAAATCGATAGAGCGCGCCAGCTGCACTTCTGTGGCTCCTCGGGTCACCACGGAACGGAATCTATCCAGTGTTCAACGGCAGGGCAGAACTCGGAGCACAGAAAGCCATGCGAATCCGTTCCGTTGTGATGCTCTGAGAAACGTCTGAATCGGATCGGCTTGTTCAGGACGTGCTCGCGGCGACGCGTCGTTTTACGGGGCTAGTTCGCTTCGCGGCCGCGACCATGAGTGCGACAAAATCCGCGAGTGTTGTGCTCTCGCTGTGCCTCAGTGTGGTGCTTGGGCTGGCGACCGCCTCTGGAATATCTGATCTGGAACTGTCCAAACTGTCCGGTGGAATCAGTGACGGCGGTGAGTGAACACCTTGCCAACCTCAGCGATCCCCTGCTGGATTAAAATATTGGAAGCTTCTCTTGTGAACAAGGGCCTAACCGCCAGGACACGCGCCAGCCTGGTGCACAGTGCAGGACTCGGCCCGGGGGCCGTGGGCTCCAGGCGCTCCAGGAGCCAGTCTTTGTCCAGGGCAGCCAGGGTCCCGGACTCACGTCCGACGCCGACCCTGCGGACAGCGGGCTGCAGGCCTGTCACACACGCGTGCCGAGCGGGCTGCCTGCTACCCGGGCTGTCCGGCAAAACCGGGACGGCGCCGTGACTACAACACCACACTGCATTCACACCGCACCTGCTGGGAGTCCTGGACCCAGCCTCCCATTCCCGAACGTCCCCGTGCTCCCAGGCAGTCATCGCGATGGAGCCCAACGGGCTGCTCCGTTTATTTGGGACCCACTGATACCGGCGGCTACAATTTCGGAGCCGGAGGGAATGGACAAAAAAAGCGGGACGACCGTGTGTTAGGTTATGTGTACACTAGACTGACTCATGGGAGAAACCCACTCCCAACCCCCTGCATTCCCTGCACACACCACCGGGGCATGAATTCACTTATCCAAGACACAACAAAATAGGATTGGTTAATTTTACAAATGCTGTTTCACTGCTTTATCAACACCTTATCAAGGTTTAGAAAAAACTTACACCTGAGCCTGAGGCCAGGTTGACAGTGACGTTGACACTGATTCTTACTATCTCATTCATTGCTTTTATTTTAAGTGGCTATTGAGATAAATATTGATTAATTTCTAGGAAGTCATTATGCAAGCAGTAATTTGGGGTCCAAATTTTTAGTACAGCATGCACGGATTGATAAATATCATGAGTTTTGAATGAAAATTATAAGCAACGATGTTACAACACCAAAAGTTCGGAACTGAAACAAGCAAAATGTGTCCGTCAATATTTTTTCCTGTCTGTTTTTTGCCTGACTGACCTCTGCCCTTTCTTCTCTGCGCAGTTCCTCGTCTTGATCTACCATCGCTTGAGAGTGGCTACCATGGACTGGTTCAAGAGAACGAGACCACTGTCGAAGTAAAACCAAGCATCAGGGCTATCGGAGCTGAAATCTGCAGCTTCAGGATTGTCAACAAGCACCATGGCGATGCTCCTTTTGATGTGAGTCCCTGAACGTACCCTGCTGCGGTATTGGATTTGTCTCCGCAGCGTTGTAACCTTCCATTGCAAGAGTCTGAGAGAGTCGTACTGCCAGGCGGTTGTGTTTTGGGCAAGGCAGGAGGGATTCTTGCTCTAGTCTCATTGCGCCGAAGCCGAAGCGTGACGCGATCGCATTTGCCTCGGTGTGCTGGTCCAGGCTGGATCCGAACCGTGGTTTCGTCTCCCCTCTCGCTCTCATGGGGCGTCCCGTTGGGGTGCGAGAGAGACAGCGACGAGCTGGACCGTTGGCGAGCCACTGCTGGCTTGGCAGGGCGGCTGGGCGGCCCCGGGCGCGCTGTAAAGTCTTCCCTATCGCTGCGGCCAAGGCAGGACTAGGCAGGACAAGCCGGCCGAGCTGGACGAGACGTTGACGGCGTTGCCTAGCCGTGCTTTCCGTCCGTCGGCCCGGCCGTCGGGCTCCACTCGGCACGATTCGCTCCGCCCACGCCGTGCCTTGCAGTGCCGTGCCTTGCAGTGCCGTGCCCTGCCTTGCCGTTCAGCTTCACTTTATCCCACCTGTTCCGGCCCCGGCTCGGCCAGTGGCGCAGTGGTACCTAGACGACCGGTCGGAGGGTGTAGAGCCCTCCCCGCTTCTAATGAGAAGACGGACCACGGCCTACGTATCGCGGACCTCGCCGCCAGGCGGGGTGGAGGGCTTGGGGCTTGTGGGGGTCATGACCTCGTCAGGCTCCAGGGCCTCGCCGCGTATCGCCGCGCCGAGTCGTGTCGACGTTAGGCTTGGCCAGGTCGATGTTGAATCCATTTTTCATTCCGTCAGAGGCGTGCGATCGTCGCTGTGGCCGGCCGAGGCGGGGCGGCTGCTTTTTATTCTGGACTTCCACCTCGCTTTGGGCGGACTTGGGCACGATGCGGTGCGACGAGCACGAAGTCGCGAGGTTGCCGAAGTGCCCCGCCGCACCGGCACTCGCCGCTCGCCGCACTTGCTGTGAAGAATCGGCTCTTTTATCCTCAATCTTTTTTTAATCCGCTTTTCTCCCCCCCCCCTTTCCCCCTTGCAACCCCCGGCGCTATTCACGCGTGTGAATCAATAGCACTCGGCGCGGCCCGCGGCTCACCCGGCCACTTGCCAAGCCCCGGCCGTACCGACCTGCAGGTGGATCATTCCCAACAGTGCTTTCGTCGCTCTGTCTCTCTCGCACTCGCAGGGCGTCCCGTCTCGCAGGGCGGCGAGAGAGACAGCGCGATGAAGCGCGCGTTCGGGATCGGACTTGTGCCTGCCCGCTGCGCGCCCCTAACCCCGACTAAGCCGTATTCGCGGGTCGTTGTGCCGAGTCTGCATCACGGTACAGTCTCCCTCGAACCCTTCTGCGTTTCCCCGACCCTACGGCCCCACGGCCCCTACCCCAGCGACCCTTTTTCCCCCGACCCGGTCCGAGTAAAAAGAAAGGCAGCCGGTACGTATATAGTTCACGTCTCAGGAGGTGCGAGAAAGAGAAAGAAACAGCAAAGGGTGTGTCACGCCACGCCACGCCGGCGGGCGCGGGGCAGGTGTCACCGGTAAAGCACGGTGTGCGAGGTGCGACGGTGCGACGTGATCCAAGGCCCGGCGGGCCAGCCAGGCAGCCAGGCCGGGCCCAGGTGCGCAGGTGCGTTGGCACCGACCGTGTCGCCCGGCACGACGCACGACGCCCTGTGCGTCTAGAGGCGCCCCGCCCCGCCGGGGAGCCCGGTGCAGCGCGGCGCGGCCGTGGCAAAGGCTGCTCGAAATAGCGATGCTGTCTCTTTGCTCCGTGTGCTCCTGCCCTCTTGGGGGACCCGGGCCGGGGCCGGCGCGGTCCTGATGCCTCGGGCCCAGGCTGGCCCAGGGCGGCCGGGGGAGGGGAAGGGCCCGCGGGGACCCTTGGCAGCGGTACCGAAGCACCGAAGCTCCGCGCGGCGCCGGGAGTTGGGAGTTAGGAGTTCGGCGGTGGTCGTGGAGAAGAACAAGAAGCACTATACCGCCGGCGGGCGGTCCGGCTGCCGTGCCGTGACACATTCGTGCGGCGCGTCCATTTTCGGGCTCGGGCCCCTATCGTGGCGGCCAAGGCGCGGGCGGCGCGGGCGGTGGCAGGGCTAACCGCCCATTTCCATACGGCGGGGCCGCGGGGCCCGGGGGCTTAGTGGGGCCCTGCCCGGCCGGCCCAACTGACAGGTGGCGCGAGTGGTTAGGCCCAGCTGTGCGGCCGGCGCCATGCCATGCCCGGCGCAGCGCGTCGCCTGCACTGTACCGAGCCAGGAGCCAGCAACCTGGCCGACGGCGACGCGGCGCCGGTCGTGACCCCTTTTACTTTATCTAGCCGCAGCGAGTGGCAGCGCGGCAGCGGGCCGAAGCTCCTCTTGTTGTTGTTGTTTTTGGCGGGCGGGCGGTCATCGTCCGCAGTGGCCGCACTCGGCGCACGCAAAGCAGCAGAGCCCTTCCTGGCGTAATCTGCCGAGGCCACCTGGGCGGCCTGGGCGGCCACGCCCCTGCAGACTGATTCCGAGAGCCGTCCTGTCTCTCTCGCCCTCTTAAGGGACGCCCTTTGAGTGCGAGAGAGACAGAGCGATGAAAGCGACCCTCGGAATCAGTCCGCTGGCCGCGCTGCCCGGTGGACTCGGCCGAATCTCGTTGCCAAATCTCGGACAGGCGATTGCCGCATTGCCTAGGAGCATCGACCACCTCCGCTATCGGCGAGAGGCCCTCGGGTCCGGTCGAGCTCGGGTCGAGCCGAAGACCATCGAGATGCTCTCGACTTTGCCTCCAAGTGGAGCACGCAGCACGCCGACGTGGAGGAGGCGGGACGACGGGCTGCCCGTCCCATTGACGGCTTGCTCCACTCGACGGCCGGAGACGAGGTCCTCTCATTGCTGCTCATGCTTGGTCCGCAAAGCCGCGTCAATCGCGACACTGCTAGAATTCCGGCGGTGACATGAAACGAGATTGACGTGAGGAGCGAAAACTTGTCACCGCGAGGACGAAGACCGTCACGCGGTGAGGGAGGCCACACGTGCACAGTACATGTGTCTGTGTGCGTTACCTGTGCCTAATTTGTTATCTTAGAACTTGGAGGTAAGCGTGTGTGAGAGAGCGCGCGCGCGTGTGTGTGTGTGCCCGCCTACAACTCGTAACAACCAGGTGCAGTGCTCGCAAGTTCCATATCCGAGCAAGTTCGCCCCGGCTGCCCGGGCTGAATCGCTTCCTTGCCTCGTCGCCGAAATCGGGGAAGCGCCGCGCGCCGTGCCGCGTCGACATTTGGCTCCATTTCAAACGGCCCGGCGCCTAACTTGGGGCGCGGCACGCCAGGCACGCACACACTGTTGCAAAGTCACACACTCCCTCACCGAGTGCGCCTGTTAGGTGGAGGTGCGGGGCCCCGTGGTGCGCAAGGCGAGTCGGGCCGGGACCGCTCTGCTCTCTGGCTCTGGCTCGATTTCCATTCTGGTCGGGATGTCCCGCCCCGCCCCGCCCCGCCCCGCCCCGCCCCGCCCGCCCCGCCCCGCCCAACCGGCTGGCTGGCCTGGCCGCCTTCTCGTCGACTGCGTCCATCTTGCTCGCCCCGTGAAGCTGCCAATGCGTGCGACGAGGACGACGAGGACGAGATGGACGCACTGCCGCCGTCGTGCACCTCAGCCTCCGCCGCGGCCATGGCGATGGAGACGACCGTTCGGTCCCTGCGGCCTGGGCTGCAGACTGATTCCGAGAGTCGCCTTCGTCGCCCTGTCTCTCTCGCACCCACGGGGCGTCCCTCTTACGAGCGGCAGAGACAGAGCGACGGAAACGACACTCGGAATCGGCCTGCGTCGGTGTGCAGTGTGCCGTCCAAGTACCGCTGCACCGCTCTGCTCCGCATTGGATGGCTTCCTCGGTGACCCCCAGACGCCGCTGCAGCGCGCCGTCCAGCCCGCCCACGGTGACGTGTGGCGTGGCGGGGCGCGGCAGTCGCACCACGTCGCACCGGCTCGCCTCTTGCTTTCACTTTCCGGCCTTGTCCGTTGGGTCCCGAGACCGAGCCCCAGGCCCAGCCCCAGGCCCAGCCCCAGCGCGCCGGCCCGGCGACGTCTCCCAGGTCCGTCTAGAGAGGCCACCCTTCTATCCGCCTCTCTCTCTCCGCGTCTAGAGAGGCCACCCTTCTATCCGTCTCTCCGCGTCTAGAGAGGCCACCCTTCTATCCGTCTCTCTCTCCGCGTTAGAGAGCCACCCTTAGGCGCCGCCCTTGATCGGCTCGGCAGCTAATTGCAGCGTGTCGCGGCGCTGTTCCTCCGTCTTCCGCGGTTCCGCTTCCGCTGCGTGTTCGTCGCCCCGCCGCGCCGCGCTCGCCGCCCAGTCCTCCAGCCGCGGGGAGTTGGCGTTGCGTGCTGAATAGACTGAACGCGAACGCGCTTGCCGCGGCGTGGCGTTGCTTGGCGTTGCTTGGCGTTGCTTGGCGTTGCTTGGCTTGCTGCGAGAGGTGCGTGTAATTGGGCCGGCAGGCTCGCCGTCGTGACCCGCCCATGGAACCTGGAACCCATGGAGGAGGAGGCCGACCGACGCCGCCGGGCGCCGCGCCCTGCCCGCCCCGCCCCTGCACCGCTGCACCGCGGCGGACAGGTCGGGCGCGGCCGCCTCGACGCAACTCGCCGCCATGCCCATGCAGGGCGAGCGGTCGGTCGCGGGGAGCGTCCCCGAACGGCGAGAGGGATAAAAATGGCGCGCTCCTCCACTGCCTTTCCGGGTTGGTGCACTGCAAGCGCGGTCCGCGGTCCGCCGCGGGGAATCCCCCCAGGAAGCCATTGCGCGCCCATTGGCGGCCATTGGCTGGCGGCGTGTTGTTTGTTTCACGGCTTTATTTCGCACCGCGGCCGTTTCAGCTGTCGGGCCGCGGGATGGATTCTGTTGCGCCGCGCGCTTCCTGCGCGGCCGTCCTCTGGTGCCGTCCCTCTCGCACTCACGGGGCGTCCCGTTTGGGTCCCGTTTGGGTCCCGTTTGGGTCCCGCAGGAGAGA